CTTTAAGTTGCTAGTGTGTTTATTTAGAACAACAAGAAAAAAACTTTTATTTGATGATAAGATTTTCAAGATATTGCATATATAAACTTCTACAGTAGATTTTGGAGTTAGTGTAGCAGATTGCCTTTGAGGAGGCAAAGTTTCACAAAGATTTCGAGATAATAGTTAGTTATTAAAGTCTTGTCTCTTTTTCAGTGATGGGCTCTTCAAATTCCAAGTCATTAGTAGCTGAAACTATCCCTGAATTAGAATGTCCATATTTCATAATGTTTTTATAAAAATGTAATAAATAATACAAGGAAGTAAGGAAAAATATTCACAACAGAATTTGCTATATTCTAATATAGTTCTTAAAGTTTAGAGAAAACAGGATATCTTTTTAATTTTTTTATTATTTAACATGTATGTATATTTTGTTTGCATGTATGTCTGTGTACCACATGCGAACCTGATGCTTGCAAAGGTTTGAAGAGGCTGTAAGGTCTCCTGGAACTGTAATTACAGATAGTTGTAAAACTCTTTGGAAATGGTAGGAATTGAATCCTGGTCCTCTGAGAGAGCAGCCAGAGCTCTTAACAACTGAGCTATTTCCATCCCTGAAAGCTTACACATTTGACATTATGGGGAGAGGAGCATTAACTTGCATTGACTATTTTTTTTTAATAAGGATCCATGTTTTGATATATGCCATTAAGTTATAAAGACATTTCTCAGTTATTATCTTGTCTCAATCTCGTTTAACAAATTCTGTCCAAAAATGTGGTTAACCATTGAATCGTGGGTAAACGAGATGGCTGAGTGGTCAAGGGCCCTGTTTGCTCTCATACAGGACCCATGTTTAGATCCCAGTCTATGTGCGATAGCTTACAGTGATCTACAATTGCGTTTCTAGGGCGTCTAATGTCACTGTCTGACTTCCTTAGGTAATAGGTATGCACATGCTGCATATACATATATGCAACCCAAACACCTATATATATAAAACTAAAATGAAAAAAAATAGTAAACGGTATTCTTAGCATCTGTAGGCAAAAGTTTGTCATGACATCTATTCACATTTATAATAACTATCTTTGAATTTGGTGTGTGGATATGAAACATTCAGACAGACAACGAATTGTACTTTTTAAGTCAGTCATTGGCTTGATGAATATTTCACCAAAGATATCAATATTAGCACAATTTTTGTATGTTTTAAAGTGTTTAAGAATGTTGCCCTGTTAACTATGTGATTTTGTTAAGATTTTATCTGATATGTGTTGCCTGTTTAGTTAGGCTTCATGGACTTAATAGAGAGAGCAAACTGTATTGTCAGCCCTTTTCAGTTGATGTGTTGTCTCTTCATACACTGTAATTCTTTGTTTAGTGTATTTATGCTGGTAATTTTAAGGGTCTCTTATCTGAGGCTTATAGAGATAAGATCCATAATGATTTATGCCCTTAATTTTGCCACAGCACTAGCATTCTTTTTTCTTACCTTAAACTTATTTGCATTGAAGAAAGACAATTTCACCTTTAATATAAACTAAGAAGCACATGATTAGCTATAAAACCTTTGTTTGGTAAACACTAACCTCAGTCTCAAATGAAAGTATAGCATTCATTAATTGTATCATCTCTAGAGTGCTTTAAAATTTGCCTTTGTTTTTCAAACAAATTTTCAAGTGCTAGAAAATACTATGTATAAGTTTGTACTATATCAAGTCAAATGTCAGAGTAGTATCTCTCAAATCTGGCATTTGTAAAGCTAAACTGTTTTATGTGTACTAGTCTTTCCTTCATTTTCTCCTAGCCACTGTTGTACTGTATGTTGAATTCTTGGGCCTTTTATAATCATGTATTCTTTTCACCCCACTCTGAAACAAATTCAACTCTACCTTCTCTGTCAATCATTACTGAAGTTAGCTACAGTGGGTTAGTTGAGAAAGGTAGAGAAGGAAAGAGAAACACAGCATGTTAAGCAAGGGCAATGATAAACTTGAAAAGTTCCATAGAAAGCATTTGATCTATGAAAATTTTACGTGTTATTTAAATATACAAGTTGTGTCGTTGATGTCTTTGGATTGCTTCAAGGAAACCATTGGGTGTGATGCGTAGTTTTCATAGTCATAATATGCCTCTTCAAAGGAGTGCTAATAGAATTAATATATTAAAATAAGATGTTGTGTTTGCAGGTGTGGGTAGAAGTAGCATAAGATGTATCTCTGTAGGTTAGAGCCTTAGCTTGGTGATCTTTTCCTTTAATAATTTCTGAGTCCTATTCTCCCTTTAGGCATTTGTGGAACAGCTTGAAAATTGCAGGTAGTATTCTGAACCTTGTCAGTAGTGAGACACTCCAATGATTAAATACGTTGTGAATTTCTGTACATTGTCCTCTCAGATTCTAAATCCTCTAATAGGCCTATGTACAAGTGCATGACTCAGAGAATTGGCAGTGGCAGCCTTCATTGGGGATTTTTATTTTGTTTAATATTCATGTTGCTCAGGTTATTTATATTTAAACCCAACTATTCTATGTACATTTGCATTAGGGTTGTTGTTGGCCTAAACTGTAGGTTCGGGGGCGGGGGCAGTGTGTTAGTTAAGTATGTCCATAAATAGAAAATGTTTTGCACATCCTATAAATTAATTGCAAGCTTATGAGGGCAGAAGCTACTAATCCTTTTACATTATGACACATAATTAAAGTTTTGAAACAAAGTACATGGACATATGGGATGATTAATAGAATGGTTGTTGACATAAAAGAATTGATTGATGTGAACTGATACCATTGTGTGCTAAGTATGCTGCAGGTACTGTGTTCCAAGTGTGTTCCTTATCCAGTCCCCACATTGCTACAGTGCTGACAGTAAATGGATTTTTGGTGTAACACGACAGTGATTATAATTATAGTGCATGATGGATCAAGGATTTATTAGTCTGTTCAGAAATTCATGGTACCTGGCTAAAGATATTACATTCCATACAACTCCAAGTATGTCCACAACATGAAAGGTCCTCTCACAAAAGAGAAATGTTAGGACATCCCAGCAGGGCAAAAGGTCTGGATTCAGTAGCAATGCTCGCTTTACAAGCTAACTTCAGTGTACTGTGGCTTCACAGTCTCTGTCTTTCATTCACTTACTTTATACAGTCCTTCTGGACATTACCACGTGTTTCCCATCTCTTGTACCTTATATTTTAAAATTATTTTAGACTTGTTTTTTCCCCCCTCCTTGTCATTTCTCATTTGAGATAAACCTCTTGGCTTTTGTTCTTTACTTACTGTATTCATGACATCACTATTCCACCTCCTTTAGATGAACTGACACTTTCCCTAAAGGTGTATGAAGGTGTATTTTATTTCCCCTATTGAGAAATTGTGTTGGGAGGAAGAAAAAAACCTTCACTAAGTACTTCTTTATGTCTTTAAAAAAAAGACATTGAATATTCTAAGATGCCTATCGAGTGAACTGTGTAATGAATGCTTTCCCAAAGATGTTTGCAAATTTGTACCACAAATAATATACCACAATCTCACTCCAGCCCTCTTGTGATAGCCAGAATGTTAGCATTTTAATGGTTGCACTAAAGAAATCTGTTTTCCCCCAATGAAATGTAGCATTCTTGGCCTATCTAAATGGGTGTTCTTTGGAGTAAACCATTTAGAACATGGAATCTTCTAAGTAAAAACTGCTGATTCTACTATTACTTTTATAATTAAATTTTATGATTTTTGTCACTGTGGTTTAGTCAAAATCTAAAGATAGGATTCAAATAGGACCTTGGTGTGGTTTAAACTTAGTGTGGTATTAGTTTACTCAGAAAAATTGTTATTTCTTGGGTATTTGATTTATTTGTTATAGGCTGGGTGAGGTAGCATACACCTTTTATCCCAACACTCATGAGACAGAGGCAGAAGGGTTACTGTAAGTTAAAGGCCAGACTGGTCTATGTAGCAAGTTCCAGGTTAACTAAGGTTATATATTGGGGCCCCCCAATATGTATTTATTGGCATAGATTGTTGAAATATGAATAAGGTGTTACTGAGGGACTTATTTTTATTTTAATACATGGTTAGGATTCTTCATAAAGATGTTAACAAAATTTTTAGTTTGTTGTATTCTAAAAGTAAATTGACAGGATTTCCTTAAAACAATCTATGGTTTATAAAGTGAAAAACTTAATAGGCAATGTATGATTGTTAAATATACAGTAATGTTTTGAAATACCTGTAGTTAATTCATATAGATTTTGATCCAGGGCATGTAACATGTCAAATAGAGAGAATTTAAAAAGCATTTGGACTTAAACTAAATTTGATTTCAATCTTGCTGTATAGCACTAGTAGTGCAAACCATGAATAAGATGTCAGTCATTCATATATTTGTCCAGTAATAACAACATGCTAGGTCCTATAGTGAAGGGGTGAAGTAGGGAAAAGATAGAATGTTTATCTGTAAGTAATTCAAAGATACAGCTGGGTATGGTGGTCCAAGTCTTTAATCTCAGCACTCAAGAGATAGAGAAACAGGTAGATAGCTACCTAGGTTACATAGTAAGACTGTCCCCCAACCCCACCTTCAAACATAATGTATGATTTTACTATAATTGTTTTTGAATAATAATTGTCAGGCACTCAGGTGAATGGTCTCTTAGTTTGGGTTAAATATGCCACTTTTTGTCTGTCCCTAGTTTCTCATTGAGATTTACTTTTTATAGACTAAATATATATGAATAGTAAAAAACCAGGGAAAAGTTAATTGCTCTCTTCTGACTTAAGAATATTAAGGTCTAATTATTCTCAGATTTCTCATTTTTCCTTAAGCCAAATTTTATAAATGTGAATTTCAGTTATATCTTCTAAATAAATTGCATGTCAGTGATTGAATTTGCATCCTATGGGCACCATTAAATGCTTTTATTTGGCCTCAAAAGTAAGATGATTTTTATATCAACAGTAATAATTTTGCATATTAAGACTGTAATTTAAAATGTTGTTAACTTATTTTCCTTAGACACCAGAGAAGAAACAATCTGAATCATCCAGGGGAAGAAAGAGAAAAGCAGAAAGTCAGAATGAAAGTAGTCAGGGTAAGCAGACACCATCTTCTTTCAGAGACTGTGCACACTTAACAATTCATTACTCTGATTTTTAATTAATTAGGGCAATAACTGTTGAATAAGTGGCTTTGTGGTTTGTAATTTTCTATATAGTATGTATTCTTTGCACTTATAATAGCTTAGGACTGTACTTGTCATAGAAATAAAAGCATGAAACTACAGACCTTTGTACTGTAGGTAGTTAGCTCATGATTACTGTTTGGTCACTTTGGCATTTCCATATTGTTTATTTGGGCTTAGAATCTGGTAGGCATTTTCTTTATCTCCTTTCAGTTTTCTATTCTATCTCACTCTAAAATTAACAACACATTCTCGTTTTTATTTTAAAAAATTATAGAAATAATTAGATTCTCATTAAAGCACCTGTTTTTGGTTATGCCCATTTTCATCCTTTCTTATATACCTACTTTTTATGATATAAACTTAAAATTTTATTTTCTTTATATTATACATGATCTTAAAAAATTGTGTGTAAGTGTATGACTGTATGTGTGGTACTTGTGCAAATGTGCTTGCAGATGAGTGTATCTGTACTTGTGTACACAGGCCAGAAAGAGTGATGTGTGTTAGGATTCCTCTGTCACTTTCTGCCTTTTTCTTTGGGGTGGGATCTCTCCTTGAACCTAGGGCTCATTTTTCTTGCTTGGGCTAGAAGCCAGCCCTAGTAATTCTCCTGTACCCATCCTGCGTGGAGCTGGAGTTACAGGTGTATTAAGATGCCCTTCTTGTTGTGTGGGTGCTGGGGCCTGTCAGTTCTGGGGTCTGAATTTTAATCCACATGATCACACACTAAGCACTTTTAGCCACTGAGTCAGCTCTGCAGCCCAGAAGGCATGATTTCTTAAAACAAACTGGTACTATTTATTCTGAGCCATGGAAAGATGTATAGGAACTTGGGTTCCTCAGTCATGTCTACATAGGAGTTGTATGTTTTAGAGCCAGTCTTTAGGCTTATGAACTGCCTTACCACTTACATATAGCACTGGAATCTGGGTAACAGAACAGATTTGTCTAGGGCCTTTTAAAAGTTTGTAGTGTGTTTGATCTCATGTTACAGTTGCTTCCTTCTGTCTTGGAGTAGACCCTCCAGCCTGTGGTTAGTGGACCTGTACATTCATTGTACATTAACTCATTTCAGCAATAGACTCAGAAAATCTTAAAAGTAAACCCCTAAATAAAGTGGGGCTTCTGAACTGATTTAGCTAACTTGTCCTTAAGAACTAGTGTTTTTAGGGGAGATGGCTTAGTAGTTAAAGGGACTTGCCACCAAGCCTGACAACTTGAGTTCAATCCTCGGGCTTACATGGTAGAACAAGAGATCCAACATCTGCAAGCTGATCTCTGACCTCCGCATGTGTATTGTGCCTGCTACTCATGTACTCCCAGACACTACATACATTAGTAAAATGAACCCAGGCCTTTTATTCTGTCTGCTCTGCAGCCCACAGAAGTACCTGACCTTCTGGGTAAGAATGGTTGCCTAAATTGGATCTATTCATTTCTCCTTCACTGACCGTTTGCTTTAGAGTGATGCTAGCTTATTGTGCTTCCCACCCTACCTTTCTTTAAAGCAAGCTTCAAGCCCCAAAACAAACTCCCCCTTGTCACCTCATAATTATTTTAAGTCATATTTCTATTTCATAACCAGTAATATATAATAGAAGTACTATTGCTTCTAGGAAATCAGGTCTGTCTCTGAAACTCACAAACAGTGGAGTAACTTCCTCCTTAACAGTAATGGACCTTGATGGAGTGGTTCTTGGTTAAAATTCAATTTCTAATGAGGAAAAGATGAAATGGAAGTGGGGCTATATCCTGAAATTAGATGTCACATATATGGGAAAAGATATAGCAGATAAAAATTACATTCAATTAGACAAAAAGAATTAGGGAAATAGCTTCTAGGTAGACAACCCTCTGTCTTTACTAGCAGGTGGTATCTCTTCAGAATTTTCAAGGATGATATCAGAGACAGAAAGAACATTCCTTTGGGATAAGTCTCTGCAATCTAGTTTGACCTAATAAATTGATATGGAACTGTTGTTCAGAAATTTTTGATAGCATTCGTTGTCTCCAAGTCCTAATTTTTTTTTTTTAAAAAAAGAAAAGGTTCTTTAAACCTAATAGAGACTGCGTTTCAGGGCAGAGTAAGTAAAGAGTGGTGTGGTCTGTCACATGTCTCCTTAGCAATATGGTCTCAATACAGTTTTTAAAATGTAGACTTTTAAAACATACATCCTATTAATTTTGTAGCAAAACATTTTAGAAAACATAGTGAGACCCTAACTAAAAGAGAAAAAGGAAGACAAAGAGAATCAAAACGTATTTTATAAAATAACATTGATAATAAGCATGTTGTTGTCTGTCTAGCACATTAGATTTGGGTTTGTACCAACCAAAGCTGGTTTTCATTATTATTCTTAACAAAGTGTGGTTTGGTTTGTCAGATACAAAGCTGCCATTTGTCTTTTTAGTTTATTGTTTTTTTCTTTTCTGGGATTAATAGATTATTAAGAAACATTAGTAATGTTTTAAAGATCAAATTCGTTTGCTAAGAGTGTGACCATGTAGCTCAGTGGTAGCATAGCCGAAGCCCTGGGTTCAGCCCATGCACCACTCTCCAACAGATGGAGGAGACAGGGATAGGAGAGAAAGAAACGGGATCTTTAATGTTATTTATCTGTTTTTTTCAGGAATTAGTACTTCCATAAATTGGCATGTTTCTATTAAAATGTGATTTGATTAGGTATTATAAATGTATAAAAATTATTAGTATTTTTAATACTCATCATTACCTTATTAAAATACCACACTTAAATAAATGGTTTTATATGCTTTTAATCAAATAAGTTATATTTTAATTTGGTACTTTTCTCTTTTTGATGTAATAAATAGTAGATAATCATGACTGCCTTTATACAATTTTTATTTTTTATATTTTAGGAAAAAGTATTGGGGGACGTGGCCACAAGATTAGCGACTATTTTGAAGTAAGTTTATTAAGAATTATTTCTAGTTCCTAATCCATTGTAGTTCTTTTACAAGATGAAAATCATTTCTTTGAAGCACAAGGTCAGCTTTTGAGAATAAATGTTAGCATTATGTGATATTTCTTTCCTAGGAACATGAAAATCTTTCAGAGTACTTACTCACATTCTTTGTTAAGCCATATTGTAGGTAAAATAAGCTGTTAGTATTCTTTTTGCAGATGGAGAAACTAAAGTCAAGAAGTAAAAAAGTAGCTACCTGGATGACAGACTGAGTTGGAGTAATGGTAGAACTGAGTTCTTACCACTTCCTACTAACCTTGAGTCTATGGATGGAGAAGATAGTTGATAAAGATGTGACTCTTAAGAATCCCTGAAAAAAAAAATAGCCATGCTGTTAGTCGTTCTTAATTTAGACTATTTTCTTGCTTCTGCATTCTTTTGGTTTCCAATTTCTGTTTGAAAATATTGATTGCTTGTTAGAACAATAAATGTTACTTCTTCAGTAGAAAAAGATATCTTCACTTTGTAACAGCATAATTGGCTGATTAAGACAAGAGCTAAACTCAAACAACCCCCCTAAAAAAAACTCCAAAGCCTCCCCCCTCCTTTTTTTTTTTTTGTTGTGTTGTGAGAGGGTGTTTCTTTGTAAAACTATTTTTAACCCCAAAATATTCTCTGCCCTTTAGTTGAGTTAAGCCACTGAAGGTTAATATCATTAAGAACTTGTGCTTAGGGTAGGGATAAATTAAAATAATCATAGCCTCTTGAATACCTACTATGTGTTAGATGATAAACTATGCCCTAGATAAAGTGAATAAAGAAAAATTGGGTTGCAGGAAGTTGTTTGGTGAACATACTAGCCATCTTCCATCTCTGCCATTCATATCAAATTTAAGTTAAAGTTGACAAGTGGTGAAGTGACAGTAAACCTGTTCCTAGAGGAACCAAGCAACAGGAAACTGTTGGCTTCTGTTGGCACAGAAGGAGGAGCTAGAAAGAACTCACTGTGGGGCAGGGTGTTTGGCTTCTCTGTACAGTTGAAGGCATATATATTCCATAAGAAAGAATGGGATTTGTAAAGATTTTTTTTGTTGTTCTAGGGAAAAGATTTGTCCTATATAACTTTTATATAATGCACTGAATATTTTGGTATCATGACAGATCTTGTGAATAATGATTCTAAGATAGTTGTGTTTACTAAAATCATATGTAAATATTTAAAATTTTTTTGAGGTTAGAGACTGGTCTCCTTTAAAGAAAAAATTGTAGGGAAGCTGCTAAACTTTGGAGGAAAAAATAAACAAATATGTTCATTTTGGGGTGAATTATTTGTCTTTGAGTAAACCACAATTTAACAGATTATAGTCAGAAAATAAAGTAGTGGGCATTGTTTGTTGTATGTTACAGTCTTAGGCTTTATATAGCTGATCTTGTTCTTGCTTTTTCTGCACCCATTTAAATTACTGGTTGATTTTTATCTGAAGCAAAGTATAATTAGGTCTGGGATGTAGACCACATGTGTGAGGCCATGAGTTCACTCCCCTGCACTAGAAGTAAAATAAGATATACTTGAATTAATTCCTTAGTGCCAAGTCTGAAATAGCAACTATGCTTTCCAATTTCTTTTTTCAGTACCAAGGTGGAAATGGCTCGAGTCCAGTAAGAGGCATACCTCCAGCAATCCGTTCTCCACAAAACTCGCACTCACATTCCACTCCTTCCTCATCTGTAAGCTTTACTAGTCAAGGTTTTAATGTTTTGTCTTTGCCATAAAGGTTGTGCATGTTGAATAACTTATAATATGCTGTTTTTGTTTTATCTATATTTTTATATAGTCACGCTTATGTTTTAAAAGGAAAATCAGTTCAGTGACATAGTTGTATCTTCTTTAATGATCTGATTCTTCTGGAACTTTTATTTTTGAACATGAGTTTCTTAGCCAAGCATTGTGCTGTATGCCTGTAACCCTAGCACTTAAAAGAGATGGAAGCGAGAGAATTGGAAATTTAAGGTCAAGGCTGGAGAAATGCCTCAGTGTTTAAGAGAACTCTAACTCTGGTTGTTCTTCCAAAGACCCAGGTTCGACTCCTCACACTCAAAATGATGGTTCATGAACATCTCTAACTTCAGTTCTAGGGCATTTGAAACACTTTCTGGTCTCCACAGGTACCAGGCATGCATGTGGTACACAGACATAGATGCAGGCAAACCACCCACACACATAAAATAAATAAGTAAATAAATAAAATTTAAATTCCAAAGAATTTAGAGTCATCAACTATAGAGAGAGTTGAGGGCTGTCTTGAGCTCCTTAACTTTTTTTTTAAGAAGTGAGTTTTTAAGCTGAAGTTTTCCTGCATTGGTTGTATGTATCTAGGTAGTGTTATTTTGCTACCAAAAAAAAAAATCTGTAGAGCCTGTAGGCTACGATAAATACTGTAGCATCTTTCTATATTCATTTATTAATGTCTGATTTTTAACTTTGCTATTGATTAAATTTGTTAACGTAGAAATAATCATGAATCATTTAGGGGAAATTTTAAGAAAAAGATGGGCTGTTCAGTTTAGCATAGAAAAAGTTATTAGAATTAGCCTGTAACATTTTGCTTCTAACATTTTAAGGCACAGTTTTTATGTGTATTGTTTTGCATCTTAAATTTTACTTTTCATTTACTTGGAAGTTGACTAGTTAACCAGATAAATAATGTTGGCTTTCTGTAATTTGAAGATGGATTATAAATTGGTAAAGCCCCGAGCTTTGTCTTACTTACTCAAGTGCCCTTTCATTATATGCTCTTCTCCTCACTGTCGGTAGACGCACTTAGTCAGGTCTTACCCGTTTGGTTCCTTGAGATACCGTACATGGACATTTAGAAAGGAAGGCTTAGGACTCAAATTTGAATTAATATAACATTGATTCAGTGTTGCCATCCCTGTTTACAGATTTAAACCATAAAACTCATAATAAATGTGTGATTTTTTTAGAGTACTTATGACCATGCATTTTTACTCTAATACTAAAAAGTCTAGACTTTTATAATTTTTGTTTGTTTGTTTCTCCCCCCTCTCCAACCCCCAGGGACTCTGTATGTCTAGCCTGGGACTCAAAGAGATACACCTGCTTTTGCCTCCCAATTAATGGGATTAAAAACATGAGATACCATGCTCAGTGATTTCTCCTTTTAGTCAGGATAATCTTTTTAATATTTTTGTTCCAGACCATACTTTGTTTATAAAGCATCAAGTTTTTGTGGATCTGAATATAAGCTTCTTTAGGTCAAGGAATATATGGTTGTTCATACTGGGTCTCATACAGGAGGTACTCAGGAATGCTTGTTGATCGAATTAATGGTGATTAAAAGTTTTTTTAAAGGTATTACAAGATAAAAAGTTTTAGAAATGTTAAGTAATTGTTGCTGAGTAGAAACTTTTCTTTTTACCTGAGGTAGAAATTTTACCATAATTTTCAGGTTCGACCGAATAGCCCTTCTCCTACTGCATTAGCTTTCGGGGACCACCCTGTTGTACAACCAAAGCAGTTATCCTTTAAGATCACTCAAGTAAGTAATAGTTTTACATTTTGCTATGACTTTGAGGAAAATTCTGACCAGTTGTATTAACAATTAAAATGTTTATGTTTTTTTCTGGATATAATTGTAAAGTAAAATTAAACTTAAGAGCTGACTTACTAAGCTAAAACATTTTCAGGAGGAACTGAAGCATCTGTCTTACCACCAACTCGCCCCTTGTTACATACTTGAACAAATGTCCCAGGAAATAAAACAACCAGAGTGGTCAGTCTTGCTCACTGAATGGTTTCAACCTGCATCCAAGTACACATATACAGTTGGTATCTTCATGATGCTGCTGTGTTGGCTACAAGTGAACACTAAAGTCATTTCAGTGTCTCTATGTTTAAACCACTAAGAAAAATCATTGATATTAAGTTACTTAGATATACTAATGTCATTATTACTATTAATACTCAGTTTTATGAATTTTGAACACAGATCACACGTTTTTAAAGGGTTTTTTTGTTTGTTTATTTGTTTCTGCTTTGCTTTTTGGTGCCAAGGGTTGAATTTGGAGACCAGTGCAAGTAGCAGGCAGATAGTCTGCCACTAAACTGTGCACCGAGTTTATATTGTTGTTTATTCATTCATTCATTTTACATGTGTTAATTTCTAGTTAAGGCTTTTTCAGACTTAAGATTGGAGAGTTGATCTGTTGATGGAGCACCTTAGTTCCACAGCAGTATGTTTTCTTTAGTCTTCCTGGGTCATGTCCAAACTGTTGTGCATGAGCTGGGTGCGGTGGCACGTGCCTTTAATCCCAGCACTCTGGATGCTGGGGCAGGCAGATCTTTAAGAGTTCAAGGTCAGCATGATCAAAAATACCCATCATATAAATAGAAGCAGTTTTTACTTGTCAGTCATAAACATCTTAAAAACTGGTTTTACAAAGCTAAAAATGACACTCTACAGATTCTTAAAACTACACTAAGATGTCTGGGAATATCTTTTTACATACCACAAACTATTGTTCTTGATTGTTTGAAGTTGGTAAAAATCTACCCTCACAGTTATGTATAATGTATATAGTAGAGATAATAAAAAATATCTTTATTTCATTTAGACTGATCTTACAATGCTGAAATTGGCAGCATTAGAAAGTACTAAAAATCAGGACCTGGAGAAGAAGGAAGGCCGGATAGATGATTTGCTCAGGGTGAGTAACATGTCATGAGAAGGGGCTATGTGACTTAATTTGGGAGCAGTTAAACTGTTGAGAAAATACTAAATATGACAGAATGTTCTGTATTTAAAAACAATAAACCTTTTCTAGTACTTGTATGTGATTGAAAATCCACTTTAAGGGCTCAAGATGGCTCAGGTGTTAGCCTCTGTAAGTATGTACACAGCTGTATACAGATATATACACTCCTAATTAAAATAAAAGACAAATATTGAAAATACCCACTTTAAAGTCAGAATAGTTGATTACCTCTCTGAGTGTGAATTGAGAAATTGTTGAAGAAGTAGAAATAGGTTTACAATTTTTTATTTGATCATCTGCTCCCAGACAGATAACCCATTTCCTGTTAAATAGTTTATTGCTTTTTGCATGACATCAGATACCATTAAGGATGGAATTACTGCCATAATCCTGTGAGATTTTTAATGGAGGCTTTATTTTTAAAAATAAATTCAGAATTGGCAAGATTGCTCAGTGGTTAAGTGTGTTTGCTGCTTTTGCACAGTGTTCTTGGGTTGTGTTCCTAAAACCAACATGATGGCTGACAGCACTCTGTAACTTGAGTCACAGGGGATTTGAAGTGCTCTTCTGGCCTATTTGGGCACTTCATATGTGTGGTGCACAGATATATGCCAGCAAGACACTCACTTACACATAAAGTAAATCTGAAAGTATGTAAATAAATAAATAAATAAATAAATAAATAAATAAATAAATCTAAGGTTTTTCCAAGTAGTGTAGCGGATTAAAGTGTTTGCTATGCAAGCCAGGAGACCTGGGTTTGATCTCCAGAACCTACATAAAAGTAGGAGAGAACTGACTTCACAACGTTGCAGCTTTCACACTTATAGCATGGCGTGTGCATTCACACCCTCAGACACACATACATCATACACAGTAAATTTTAAAAACATACCCAAAAGTATTCTTAGAATGTGAGTAAGGCATAAAGCAGGATTTTTTCCCCCTTGCAATTCTTTAGGATCACCTCCCTGACGGAAGTACTAATTTTGAATTCTCCCCCGTGGAGTTCTGATTAAATTGATGTGATGTGGCTTGGATGTTGATAATTTTAAGAGCTTCTACCAACTATTGTAATTCAAACCAGCACTGTGAGCCAGTAGCCCGACAGCTTAATAACTCTGGACTGTATCCTTAGCCACCTTTTCACTTATTAAATTGGATGTTCCTTAGTTTTCAGTTTTTAGGTTTTTTTGTTTGTTTTGTTTTTTCTTCCACTTTGTGAGATGTCTTTTCATTACATCATGCTGTCTTTTGATGATTGTTTTCATATATTAATTATCTTAAGTTTATAGTTTATATTTTATGTATACTAAATTATTATCAAAGATACCAAAAGAACTGAGCTTAAAGATGTTCTTCAATGAGAAATAAGGCCCTGAATTTGAAATAGAGCAAGGAGGGATATATGGCAGAGTGGAGGAAGGAAAGGGAAGGAAAAATGCAATTAAATCTCAAGAATAAAAAAATAGTTAAAAAAGGTTTTTTGATGTTGTACAATTCATGATCTCACTAGAATTGATTTGTGTCATAGTGTGGAGTAGGGGTTCATTTTAATTTCTTCCTATATAACCAGTTATCCAATTGAACTAAAAAGTTCATTTCTATACTTAAGGCTCCACTGTTAAATCTTATTTCCATATGCAGTATACCTACTTCTCTCTTATATCTGTATTCTGTTTTGTGTATTACTCGATCAGTCCTGAATCTCTGTTTTAGCATTTTGCAGTTGTCTTTGTTAGTAACACAGTATAAAGAGCAGTACTTCACATGAGATGGAAGTGTATTTAAAGAAAGAACAGAATCTAGATATAATTGCCCCACAGTTTGAGAAGACCTTGGCTCCTTCAGGAGCTTGCTTCCTGTCTTCAGTGCATGGCTTCCATCTTGGAAGTCACCTGTGGGTCCAAAATAAAAATAGTCACAGTCACAGTATATATGTTCTAAGCAGTGACCAGGGAAAAGAACCACAAACGGTACAATTCTTTGTGTATCCTTTTTGAATATTCTATTGAATTTACTTAAATTTCTCTGTAAGAGAAGTCTTTTGGCTAGGAACATATCAGTCTAGAGTTAAACATTTTTCCATTATTATGCAAGAAGAAAATTATAGTGATTGTAGTTACCATCTTTATATTAAATCTTGACATACGATATACATGGTACATGCTCTTAATCCCAGCACACTAGGGGCAGGAGGAGGCAGCAGGATTATAAGTTTAAAAGTAGCCTGAGCTAAACACGCGCACAGTCACACACACATGGGTGAGGGGCAGATGGGAGAGACCCTTGATATGAGGTTGAACAAGTACTCTTTGTTGTTTTGTATCTGGAATCTTAATGAAATTTTGAGGTTAGTTGTTCAAGTTAAACATCTGTACTGATTCTCAAACCAGGTTGAGGCTTTGTTTGAACTGTTTAAAGGTGAGGATCCCCAGCTCTTGGGAGGCAGAGGCAGGTGGATTTCTGAGTTCGAGGCCAGCCTGGTCTACAGAGTGAGTTCCAGGACAGCCAGGGCTATACAGAGAAACCCTGTCTCGAAAAACCAAAAATAAATAAATAAATAAATAAATAAATAAATAAATAAAAATAAAAAAATGAGGATCTGTTTGTGCTAAATCTCATTTTGTTGCTTTTGATGTACAGTTTTATTGAGCATGTAGTTGTAGGTTGACAGTTACTTTCTCCCAACATATTAAAAGTATTATACAGTTTGGTTTCTGCACGATTGGACTACACTCGGGGATCTTAGTACTTAGTGGTAGCAGCAGCAGCATTGATGGAGAAAGTGAAATTCCTAGGCTCTCCTTCAGACCTAATTTAGAATATTTGGGGGGTGGGGTATCTCAGCAGATCACAGATTCTTTTCCTGTAGTGGTAGGCTAGTCAGACTTCCCTGGAGTTAGAGAGAAGTCTCCTCTTTGGGTATATAGCTACCTGCAGAGTGAACAGTCAGTATCCTGTTCAAGGAAGGATGTAGTTAACTGGGTCAGCAATAGTATTGATAGTATTGTCCTTATGTTTTGTAGAGAAAGTGTTCTGAGAAGATCTGGTAGTGTGAAAGAAGAAATTCACATTTCCTCTTAAATGGTTTTACACATATGATATATACCACATTTTACTTTTAGCTGAAGTAGATTATACTTCTTCCATTTACAAATAAGGAAACTGAACTTAGATTCAGATTATATAGTCAAAAATTTATACCTAAGAATATACACATACATGTCCAGAATGTGTACATAAATTTTCTGTACTTTCTACTATGCAATTAAATTAATGTTTGAGAGTAAATAGACTTTTAGTATTTATCTTATCTACTTAATTTGTTCAAAGCAATCACTAAGATTTTTATACACACTGCTTCTAGACCTTTCATTTTCTACTTATGTTGTAGGCCAACTGTGATCTCAGGCGGCAAATAGATGATCAACAGAAGTTACTTGAAAAATACAAAGAACGATTAAATAAGTGCATATCTATGAGCAAGAAACTGCTTATTGAAAAGGTGAGTTATTACTAAATTTTCCCTCAGTAACTTGCTTTTCCTTGCATGCTTTTAAAATCTGAATGACTAACCTGTTGGTGGTGGCTCTTGCCTTTAACCCCAGCACTGAGGAGGCGAAGGCAGATGAATCTCTTGAGTTCATTGCCATCCTGGTCTACAGAGTAAATTCAAGGCCAGCCAGGGCTACATGGAGAAACCCTGTCTCATAAACAGATGGATGGATGGATGGATGGATGGATGGATGGATGGATGGATGGATGGGAAATTTTGAATGAATATAATTGATGGTTTTTTTTTCTCATTTTCAGAGTACACAAGAAAAATTATCAAGCAGAGAGAAGAGTATGCAAGATCGGTTGCGCCTTGGGCACTTTACAACAGTTAGACATGGCGCTTCTTTTACAGAACAGTGGACAGATGGTTTTGCATTTCAAAATCTTGTAAAGTTAGTAATGTTTACAATTTTATAAACTTATTTTTGAGAGAGAGAGAGAGAGAGAGAGAGAGAGAGAGAGAGAGAGAGAGAATATGTGTGTCTGTATCTGTATGTAGGTGTTCTATCTTGCATGTACACTTACACTCTAGAAGAGGGCATCTGATCTCATTACAGATGGCTATAAGCCATCATGTGGTTGCTGTGGATTGAACTCAGGACCTCTAGAATAGCAGTCAATTCTCTTAATCACTGAGCCATCTTTAAAATACATTGACAATTTCTTTTTTGATTGTTTTTGTGGGGCTCTGGGGATCTGACCAAAAGGCTCACAAATCCTGGACAAGGATCCTCCACTACTGTTCTGCACACCCCTGGCCTATGTTTACTTTTCCTTAAGTAAGAGCACAGTATGTTACTCCTACATCAATATGGAAAGAGTTAACATCTCATTCTTACTTTGCTATTTTTGAGATTTTTCTATCTTGATTCTTGTTTCTTTCATGCTTGTCTTATTTCTGCTCCCTCACTAAGGCCACAGAAAAAGAAGAAGGAATCATTCAGCCACAAAGTCAGAGTTCTGGGGTCCCTGTTTGAAGGGTCTAGTGGGGTAAACATTGTTTGCTCTAAATCTCAGTAGTATGATGTTGTAGAACTATAAAATTGTCTTTCTTTACATGATAGGAGACCCAAAAGGAACATGGTTATTATCAGAATAAACTTAATATATTTTAGGATGGGAAAGGCTGAACACAAGTCCCTTGGTTGGCTGTCGAGGTTGGTCATCAGATAAACGCACTTGCACCAAGCCTCATGGACTGAGTGAGCTATATTCTTGGGACCTAAGTCTTCTGACCGCTACATATGCACTTTGTACATGCCCCCGAACTTTTAATCCAAATTTTGCTCTGTAACCTACGCTTCTTTTGAACTTGCAATCCCTTGTCCCCATACACCCAAACTCTGAGATTACAGGGCTACACCCAACCTATAAATCTATAACAGACATAATATCTACTAGTTTTTAGAATCTCAACTCTTTGGAAAATTGTTTTAGATACTTCAATGGGAAGTACTATTAAATTGTATTTATTAATATAACAGGTTAAAATTTTCAAGTTCCTTTTTTTTTAAATCAAGTCACCTTTTATTTCAAAATACCAACTGTTTTAAGAAAGTAATACTTTATATTAAAATTTTACTTGCCTTTTATAAGCTTATCTACAAATATTAATGTTGAATGATAAAATATATATTTAAAATCTATCTCAAACTTTGATTAGGTGGGGCTTGGGTTTTGCTTTGTTTTGTTTTTAGTTAATTTATTTAAAAGAATCTTAGTGTGTATACTAGTATATTTTGGTTTCCATGCTAGATAGTAAGAGTAAGATAGAACGTTGTGTGTGTGTGTGTGTGTGTGTGTGTGTGTGTGTGTGTGTGTGTGAATCTCTCTCTGTCTCTCTGTGAATCTCTGTCTCTGTCTCTCTGTCTCTGTCTCTCTCTCTCTCTGTGTGAATCTCTCTCTGTCTCTCTCTCTGTGAATCTCTGACTCTGTCTCTCTCTCTCCCTTTCTCTCTCTCTCTCTCTCTCTCTCTGTGTGTGTGTGTGTGTGTGTGTGTGTGTACACATACATACACTGTCTATTTCTATGAAAAGATTAGCCTAACCAAACTCATTCTGATGAAGTTCTATAGGAAGGGCATTTTTTAGTAAGGACAAGATACTATGAAATCCTATGTAGCCACATACTTGGTCTTATCTGGAAGTTTAGGGAACATTTCATGTAAAGACTGTATGAAGTGAGACCTGTAGGATGTTTTGTTTCACCAGAGTGGGACCCACGGGGCTAGAGAGATGACTCTGCTGTTGAGAACACTTGGCTGCTCTTCCAGAGGACCTAAAGCCCAAGGTTTGGTTTCCAGCATGCAGGTGGTGGCTTACAACTTTTTGTAACTTCAGTTCTAGGTGAACTGATACCCTCATCGGGCCTCTAGAGGCACCAGACACACTTGTGATACACATGAATAAATACATAGGTACATACAGGCAACATACTTGGTTGGTTGTGTTGGTGCACACCTTTAATCCCAGCACTCAGAGGCAGAAGCAGATGGATCACTTTGAGTTCCAGGCCAGTCAAGGCTACACAGTGAGGTCCTGTCTAATAAGCAAATGAACAAACCACTTACATACACAAAACAGTTAAGTAAGTATATATTTAAAAATTTTAAAAAGAGTGAGACCAACAGAATAAAGATTTATATTATGAGATCTTTTTGATGTGTTTTTAATTGTGGACAATAATGGAAGATTAATATGGCTTTATTCCTTTTTACACAGGCAACAAGAATGGGTGAATCAACAAAGGGAAGATATTGAACGGCAAAGAAAACTTCTAGCCAAACGCAAGCCTCCCACAGCTAATAATTCTCAGGCACCTGCTACTAATTCTGAACCAAAACAAAGAAAAAACAAGGCAGTCAATGGAGCAGAAAATGATCCCTTTGTTAGGCCAAATTTACCACAACTGTAAGCTTCTTTTACATTTTTCACTTACATTGCTAGCAGTGAGCAAGAATGCTAATAATAATGTTATTCATAATTAATATTGCAAAAACAAAAGTAGTTATTATTTAGATGTTAACTGAAAAGTTATCTCTGACATAAATCTCCAAGCCTGAATTTTTAAGTGGAGAGTGGGATTTACCCCTCTTGTGTATCTGAATCAGTTGGCTATACCAATCTAGTGTTCAAATTAATGTGCCTTTTAAGTACCGTTGATGGTGTTTATTTTCTGAATGTATAAATGTAGTTCACAGGTAGTTTCAGACAGTTGTTTCTTTTCTGTTTTGTTTTCTAAATTTCTATGTCAAGGGCTCTTTGTAATTCAAAGAACAAAGATGTTTAAATAATAGTCACATGTTTATAGAAGATTTGGGAAATTGTACAAATATTTATGTGAATAAAGATGTAGGTACCCTTGGATGTTCTGTATAGACACATTTGTGTCTCTTGTTGAAAAAAGGTGCTTTGACCCTCATTCCTGCCATGTCAGGGATTTTTAAAGCAGTGAGCAAAAAGCAAAGTTCTCATTACATTACAAACACACCAGCTCCATTTGGTCCCTCTGCACACATGCTGTCCAGGTCTTGTGTTTTCTGCACTGGTTATATCCCATTCTCTGCCATATTATTTATTCGTTCATCTTCGTTTTTCCTTTCTCTCCCCTCAGTTCCATTTTTATTGAGTTCTTTGCAGGGGTGATCTTTAATTTCTGGGCTCAAGCAGTCTTCCTGTTTCAGGCTTCCAAAAATTTTGACACTACATGAACAGACTAACATGGTCACTTCTTCAAAATCACTTCTTCGAGTCATTCCAAATTTTGTTCTAATTCCAATTAGAACACCTAAGTGTTGATTTAAAAAGCACTAAGGTTCTATATTTAGCAACACAGCTATCTTAAAAGTGTTGGGTTTTAACTCTATTTCTAATGACACCTGGTCTTTTAGCTGTTCTCTATAGACATACCTGGTCCTTTAACTCTGCACCTGTAGACATCTGGTCCTTTAACTCAGCTCGTACAGATGCCTAGTCCTTTAGCTCTGCTCTATAGATAACCTAGTTCTTCACTTACGTCTGCCTCTGTAGACACCTAGTCCTTTAACTCTGCCCCTATAGATACCCGGACCTTTAATTCTGTAGTAATATTTTACGGTTCTTCACAGAAAAGTCCTTAATCTCTTGATTTAAATTTATTCCTTGACTTTTCTCATTTGGCTTATGTTGAATGCTGGTGAAATGGGAATTGTTTGTTAAATCCTCTGTGGCTGCTTCTAATGTGTGTAGAAGCAATGCTTTCTATGTGTTATCTCATGCCTTAGAGCATTCCAGAATTTATTTAATGGGTTTTTATCCTTGTGCTTTTCTTTAGGATTTTTTTTTTTTTTGCATGTAGAGTTGTATTATCTGTGAAGATACTTTTATTCTTTCTGTACAGTTAGGATACATTTTTCTCCTCTTATTTCCAGTGTAGTTCTGAGGAGAAGTAGTGAAAGTGGCATCCTGTCCTCCTCCTGATCGTAGGGAGAAGTTTTTCTTTCATGTTAAATGAAATACTTTTTCTTATAATACTTTTTTGGTGCTTCTGATCAATTATTCAGTAGACATTTCCTGACTGTAATAATCTGATGAGTTATGCTTTGTGCCTCCCAACAATCTGATATTGTAACTTGTGTTCTGTAACTTTGACACTTTAAAACATTGAATGTCAAGTGTCTTTCAAACTAGCTTAAAAGCTAGTTTCTGTTATTTCTGCTATGTAATTCTGATACTCTTCAACTATTGTTAAGTGCTTTTTAATCCCAGCACCTAAGAGGCAGAGGCCAGTGGTCTCTGAGACCAGCCTGGCTTATTGGACCTGTACAGTGATACCTGGGCTAAAGCAAAGTAAGATTCTCACTCACTATGGAAGGCTATCATTGTTTATGTTTCAATTCACATAAACCTACTGATAGCTTTATTTAGGAGCCTATCTAAAGCTTTTAAATAGATTATCTATTGTTAATGCTTTCGTAACAGGTATGATTTATATGGAAGGAAATGAGCTATGCATTTCTATTTATGTGTGCGTAAAAGATTTTTATCTTAAGTAACATGACAAATTAACTTGCTTAAAGCTCATAATAAAAACAACTGGTACTGAAAGCATTTTGTTAACAATGTCTGCTTAGCTCTGTTATTATTTGTGAAGAAATCCTGTTCCTTAAATTAGCCAGTCTCCTTGATCTAAATGTATGTATTTCCTTCTCTTTTTAAGATACACTTTTTTTTTTTTGTGAATATGAGAATATATGTCACACGTATGCAGGTGCTGACAAAGTCAGAATGTTGGTGCTAGAGCTGGAGGCCATGACGAGTTGCCCATTATGGTGTTGGAAACTGAACTCTGGCCTTCTACAAGAGCAATAAGTATGCTCCCAGTCACTGAGCTGTCTCTGTAGCCCCTTAGATTCCTTTAAAACATATCTCATTATTAATGCACATGGATAGCAGAAAGTCTAAGAAGCTACTCCTTTTGGCAGTGTTGAGGCTTACATGATAGTTACGAGACAGGCCCTTGAACTAGGAACCTTGAAATTGGCATCCGTGGACACCTCAAACTACTTACACCCAAAATTTCCTGGAGAGAGTATTTATAGCTTTTGTCATTTCTAATACCTGTATTGTAAAATGTTAAGAAAAGTAGACGCCTACGAGCTTAGATGGGTAATAAAATAACAATCTCTTCAGACTGAGGGAACTCCTGCAATCTGTATGACTAGGAGCTTTGGAATTTTTCGTGATAGGTTCTTGCTTCAAAAATCATGCTTTAACTTAGATTTTCAAATACCAGATTTTAGCTACATTTTTAAATTAAGGTTTTAAAAATCAATGCATTCCTATATATAACCAACTAAAAAAAAAAAGATGTACATAGTTTGACAAAATTCTGAACCATTCTGTGATCTGTTGATGGGCCTAAAGCCATACTTTTAAAGACTAGAAAACAATGTTAGTAGGAAAACTTGTGCCTATGGCATATGTGTATACCCAGAAGCTATTTAACTGACTTTACCTGTAGCCTTATTTTTCTTCCTGCTTCTTTCTCCCTGTCTATTTTGGCCCACACTGGTCTAGAACTCCTGATCTCCCTGGCTGAGACCCTCAGGAAGGGATGGACTGTGAAGGTTTTGCATTGATAGGGAGTGTGCTCTCACACCTGCTACAAAAGTCAACTCCAGATTTAGTGTATCCAGCTTCGGCAACAGTTGCTGTTCTCAATATAACCCTGTAATTGTGTTAATCGGAAGGTTTTACTGTTTTGCTCTTAAGATGATTTTAATGGAATACTACCTAGATTCCTTAGTTTGTTTCTTTTGAATGCTGTTGTTTTGGAAGTAATGAACTTAAAGGAAAATAGAATTTATACTGAGTGTTGCTGAAGAAACTGAATGATACTGGAATAGAAGCGTTACTTTTCAATGTCTCCTCAGAACCACATACATTGGCTTCAAACAAAAACTTGAGTGTGATGGATGAAAATTATCCTTTCAGAGTTGAGCATGAAAATTTTGTTCCCTTTTTTTCTTTCTTTTTCAAATATGGGACCTTTTTTTCCCCCTCCTTTTACATACCAACAGTGTTCTAAGGATCTTAGTGCTTGTTGTAGCCAGTGTCAGGGATGCCTTCCCTGCTCTTCTCCCCATGGCTAATAACCAGAGCGAATTAAATAGTCAGTTTCATGCCACCTTTTGTTTTTTCTTCATAGCACATGCCATTTAAATTTTTTCCCCTCATTTTCCTACATTTGTATTCTTCCTGTCAATTGTAATCTCAAAATAGAGTGTAAGAAGAAACTGCCTTTCTTTCTGTACATAAGCCCTTAGATTCTGAATTCTTTAGCATCACTTGATACATGACACCTATTGCATAATAGTTAATTACTCCAGCCAGAAATGTTAAATTATGCTGAAGAATATCATAAAGGGGTTTTCCAACTTCTGTATTTTAGGCTTCAAGTTACCAGTATTTTTACTTGTATATTTAGTTGGTTTTTTTATTTATCATGTTTTGTTAGTTTTTAATTTTAAAAAAGTACTAAGCATTAATCTCAATGTAGAATTAAAATTTCACTTTTGACAGGCTGACTCTGGCAGAATATCATGAACAAGAGGAAATTTTTAAACTTAGACTAGGACATCTCAAAAAGGTATGTGCAGCCCATGTTGGGTTTCTAGTTTGTTATCAAGAATGTGAAGAACTTTATTCATTTCTTTGGCTTAATTCTTAATTTATTCACTACTAATTGTTGAAATGTTTTTATTAAAATGCATACTCAGGAAAATTTTATAAGCTATAAACAATTGATCCAGTTGGAAGTGATGCAATTGAGAAAAATAGTCTCTGTGAGTTAAGTCTTTGTTACTGTGTCACTACACTTGTTTATAAACTTGGAACTATAATCAGTCCTTTGTTTTTATTAGGTCTCATTTTGATGCAGCTCATTTCCAAATACTAGTAGAGATTTTTTTCCCCTTCAAAATGAAGGTTTTAACAGACCAAAATTTTTCTTGTATTCAGCCTTTTATTCTACTTCCTGCTTATCAGTTGTTTGATTTGATAATAGGGTGATGTATAGATATAACTGAACTCCAGGAGGACAGTGTCTATGGAGGCACCTCTGAGGTCAGAGCAGGGTGGGCTGGGACCAAGAGCACCATGTGCCGGATACAGTTTCTACTGAACTACATAGTAAGCCCTGTTTGAGATGTTGCCCATAGACCACTTGGTTAGACCATGCAGAAAACTGTCACCATGCCACATTTGCCTATACCCTTTCTGCGTTTTATTACATGATGTTTAACAGTTATGTGTTCCAATGTTTTTTTTCCTTTTCTCTCCTCTTATGACTACTATTTCACTCTCTTCTATGAGATCAATTTATTTTGGCACCCAAAAACAAATGAAAACATGTAGAAATTAAATTTTTACAGCCTTTTAAAAGACAATAAAAATTTGTGTCTTATCAAAGTCTAAAAAAAAAAAACACTTTGAAAGCATTCAGGGTTTGCTTTCTGATGGTTGATGATAGAGTTTAAAGTTTTCTTGGTACTTTGAAAATATTTGGTCTCTATGAACAATGCTTTATTTTCTCAAGTAAAGTCTCCATGTCTCATTACTACCATAATCATTTTCTCTGCATTTTTCCCAGTTTATATATCAAATTTTCTATGAATCTTAAGTTTCTAACATCTACCCGACCAATTCCCAACATAACTCTTTTGTTCTTTTGTTGTTGTTGTTCTCTGCCATAAAGTGTTGTGGGAGAAAGTGTCAGTTCACAGTGCTAAAAGTCTTAAGACTTACAGCTCTTTTCTCAGGGAGGGTTTTGGGTGAGAAGAATGAATGTGTTTATAAAGGAAGTTGCTAGAAGTGCAGAGATAATAAAACTTTGCGAGTAATGTCACCTTTGAGAGTAACTGAATAGGAGCTGCCTACTTGTAACTGGGTATTTATGTCTTAGTTGTTGAATTAGAAAGTAATAAGCAGTATCTTAATTTGTATTAAAAATAGGTTCCTAAAGTCCTAAAGCACAGCTAGAAAGTAGGTCATTCTGTTTTGTTGAGAGAGAGAGAAGGAAGGAGGGAGGGAGGGAGGGAGGGGATGAGTCATAAAAAGGACAGTCTTGATTCAAGAGAAAATTTTGTCTTATCAGTTCCTAAGCTCCAGAGTTTGGTAGCTGGCAGAGCATACCTCAACCTCAGCTGTGAGTATGTAGTTTCTGCCATAGGCTGGGTCTGTTCTCATCTGTGAATACTTAATGCTTGTGGAACCTGCTGAGTAAGTAGCAGGTCATATCAGGGTGTAGATTGGAGCTGCACATGCTAGAGTAGCAAAGATCTCTCTCTGCTCCCCCTTCCCTCTTTCCTTCTCTTTCTTCTTAGAGAAATAAACTCTTCCTTCCCCTGAAATAAACTCTTAACATAAAGTAGGGTTATTATATTAGTTTCATTAGCCTTAAATTACAAGCATACTTCTGGTCAAGGACCCCAACACTATGAGAATTTAGAATAGAAGATTCATCTTCCACTTAAAATTGATGACTTGTGATGTGATGTAGTTTATATTCTATCCGTATGCATTTCATATTCAATGATAACTAAAGAGGTAAGCAATGTAGAGAAGCTTATTTACTATTAAATGAATCATAATGTCGGGTTTATATCTGTGCTACTCTGTAGTCTTAGAAAACAAAGGTTCGAAGTGTGATAAAGTGAAGAAGGAATATTCAAAAGGTTGTGGCTTAGAGTAAATAAATTTGCCTCTGAAAACTTTTGTAAACTTTACTTAAGTGCTTAGTATAGTGTTTGTCTTCTAGGATTAGGAAGGTCACTCTGGTATTTCTTGGTATATCAAGAGCTCTTTCAGCCAGCCTTGGTGGCACCCTCCTTGTATCCCCAGAACATAGGCAATTGAATTCAGGGCACCACCAAACACCCTCTACACAGTGAGACTCATGTGACAAACAGACAAATAATAAAAAAAAAAAAACCAAAAACAACCCACCAAAAATAAAATTCCAAAGTACAGAATCCTCCCCTGGGTTCCAGCCCTAGCAGTATGCACAAAAGGGTCTTTAATATACATTTATAAAGAAAAGACTTGAGTTGTCAGGATTTTATGCAGTCATTGTTCACACATTCATAAGCGGCTTATTACTTTGTCCTGTCTGATGCAGGCTCCTACTTGACTTTATCACACTTTAAACCTTTGTTTTCTAAGACTTCAGAGTAGCACAGATATAAACCTGACGTTATGACTCATTTAATAGTAAATAAGCTTCTCTACATTGCTTACCTCTTCAGTTATCATTGAATATGGAATGCATACGGATAGAATATAAACTACATCACAGATCATCAGTTTAAAGTGGCAGATGAGTCTTGTCTTCTGACAGAATAGACTGGAATTCTGCCTCTCACCTCATTCTGAGGACTGTTGTTTCACTCCCTCACAGGGAACAGCCTAGTTGCTTATCATACACATTCTTTTTCTTCACATATTTCCTTCCTTTGAAAATTATGTTCACACTAGAATAATGTTTCTTTGTTATTAATTGAAATATAGATTTTTTTTTCACTCTCAATTTACTTCTAAAGGGCATTTAGAGAACCCCCTCCCCCAAGTACAAACACTTTCTTTTTTTGCTTGTTTGTTTGGGTTTTTTTTTTGTTTTTTGTTTTTTGTTTTTTTGAGACAGGGTTTCTCTGTGTAGTCCTGGCTGTCCTGGAACTCACTCTGTAGACCAGGCTGGCCTTGAACTCAGAAATCCGCCTGCCTCTGCCTCCCAAGTGCTGGGATTAAAGGAGTGCGCCACCACCGCCGGCCAAACACTTTCAAATAAGATTGTTTTTAATTAATTTGTTTTTATGTATTTGGGTGTTTTGCCTGTATTTTTTTTTTCTATACACTATGTGTGCACAGCCCTAGGAGTCTTAGAAGAGGTCGTTGTGACTCTAGGAACTGGAATTACAGTCATTTGTGAGCTGCCATATGTGGGAGCTGAGATTGAGCCCAGGTCCTCTGGAAGAGATTCCAGTGTTCCTAACCACTGAGCCACCTCTCCAGTCCAGCTTGACCTTTTTTTTTAAACAACCCGTGTGTTTGTGTGTGTGTGTGTGTGTGTGTTTATGCTTGTGCCATGGCATGAGTTGATTTTCTCCATCTGCCAGGTGGGTCCTGAAAGCAAACTGAGACAGACTGGTGCTTTACCCGATAAGCTATCTTTCCAGCCTTCAAGTAACTTTCAAAACATATCTTAAGAATTACATAGAATAGGCCTGTATGTAACTCCATTATTCCCGAAATGATTTTAAGGGGAAATATACTCATTTTTGCTACTTATAGTCATTATGCAAACTGTCTCTAACTAATGCTTACCAAAACCTTGTTGGAAAGAATAATCCTATGTTTTTCAAAAGGCAAAATAGAAGCTAGGGTTGGTAAAATGCTTAGTATGTAAGCACGAAGGCCTGAGTTTGGATCCCTAGCACCCGAGTAAAGTGTGAATTCAGCAGCATGTCTGTAACCCCAGTGCTAGGAGGTGTGAAGTCAGGTGGGTCCTGGGAGTTCCTAGGCAGCCAGCATAGATAAATTGGTGAACTGTGGGTTCAGTGAGAGACCCTGTAACAAAAACTTGGATAGGGGTCTGGAGAGATGCCCCAGAAGGTAAAATTGTTCACTGTGGAAGCCCAGTGACCTGAGTTAAATCCCCCAAATCCACATAAAGGTAGAAGGAGAGGTCTGACTCCACATAAATGTCCCCTCCACTTAGCTAGTGAGTCCTCCCTCTCTCCTTCCTTCCCTCCCTCCCTCCTTCCTTCCTTCCCTCCTTCCCTCCTCCCCTCCCCCCCTCCCTCCCTCCCTCCCTCCCTCCCTCTCTCTTTCTCTCTCTCTTGTGTGTGCGCGCGCACACACAAACACACACACAAACACACACTTAAAAATTAGGAAACAAAAGTAGAAAGTGATTTTTGGGAATACAGATGTCAACCTCTGACTTACATAAGCATGCACAGACATTTACCTGCAACCTGCACATATATACATACACACATGGCAAAGTAACAACTCACTGTTTTAAATATTTCTGTCCCATCGGAAATGTAGGGATTTAGGAGTATGGTCAAACCATAAACTTGTTAATCCTTTTTAAATACTAGCCTTTGGTAAATTCTAATAATGGATAACCTTTTTATCCCTCTGATTTAACAAAGCATTTGTAGGTTCTTTGTAGAATGAGATAGTTATTCTGGAATTGAAGACAGCTGTGTTTTCAGTGAAAGCAACAGACAATGAAAAAATTCTCTAAAATATCTTTCTAGTCATAGTATATAAAGCATGTATGTTTCCATAATTCTGCTATCCTAGACTGATAACGAAATAGAAATGTAAGTTTTCAAGAATGGTTACTGTGTCTTGACACATTAAGTTTATAATGTGAACAGTGTTTGAACATAGTTGTTCTTTGTTCTCTAGTTTCAGTTGTTCAGTGTTTTAAGATTGGCCCTGGCTGGCTTGGAACTCATGGAGATTTGCCCATCTCTACCTCCCAAGTGCTGGGACTACAGATGGACACTGACATACCTGTTGTTCTCTTATTTTCAAATTTACATTTTAAATATGTGATTAGTTTAGGAGAGTGCTATT